TTTTTTGGTAGAAAAAATCAATGGTGGCCTCAAAATTTTTTCTTCTGAATATTTTGATTCTTTAAGACTTGAAAACACTAGAAAACATAGTATATCAATCTTTGGAGGGCGTTGCTCAAGCGAGAAAAAATAATGCACTAAAAATCGTTTCGGCGAACACTTTTGACCGCTACTGTATATGTAAGCAGACTCGAACGTAGACTTTTCCAGTCCTAACCATCTCTCCCACACTCCTCCTCCCCCCTCCCTACCTCACTTGACATCATTAATTACCTCATTCTTGTACCTCGGCTCCTACCCTCCATGTCTCTTTCCTGCTTATCCTGAACGAATTTAAGATATGCATAACTCGCTTGAAAAATTATAAACTCTTCAAGTGCTCATACTTTGAGTGCATTTTTACCCACTCACCCTACCCATTTGAAAAGGTCGCTGACCACCCCATATGATCCTTTCCCAATGGAGAAAAATTTATCCCTCTCTTCCAGGAATCTCGACGGACCGTGAGCCATTCCTTCTTCTTCTTCAGATTTTTCTAACCAGGAAATGCTTTCAACTTCCCACGGAACTATGAATGGAGACTGGGATGAATCAATAGAGTAATGAATGCTAGTTACAAATATTGAGACCAAAACTGCTACGTGAACATTCCAAGCAAATCGTGGGCGGTCAAAGTTGACAGGAAGGGTAGCGTCAGTATAGGAGGCGAGCTAATCTAACCGCATCGGCGTTTTTAGTTTTTCCTGAAACAGTACCTATAGGGGTAAACAGATGGCCTGGTCACGAATATGACATTCATTTTTGAGACAGAGGCGATCTGGCGCCAGTTTGGTGCCGCAACTCACTTTTTTACTGCATTTCTTGCCAACTTTGACCGCTCACAACTTGCCTAGAAAGGTCGCGTAGCAGTTTTGGTCTACATATCTGTGAATAGTATTCAGTACTCTACCGATTTGCCTGGGTCTCCATCCAAAGTTCCATGGGAAGCCGGAAGCATTCCCTGGTAAGAGGACGAAAACAATCGGCTTTTACATCGTTGACCTCAGCTACTCTTTGTATAGTGCAAATCGCCTTCATCCTAATGGCGCTTCAACTCTAAGCAGAAGCTGAAGTCGTAGCGGATTCCAAAAAAGGAATTTCAGCGTTTAAAAAATTCATCCTTTGTCTTCCAAAGATCAGCAAGGTTACGTTGGCGCCACCCTGATGCTTCAAAGCGCATATATAATATTCTTCTTTTGTGTTGAAAAACTTCGACTTCGGATTTGTGCAAAACGGAGACCACACTTCAAAGCAATAAGCTTTTCCTATCTCATGAATATTCGGAAATTCAAGGAGAGGGGACCAGTCGAGAGAGGCGCCTTTGTGAAGAGCGATGTTTCAGGAGAACTTATAAACTTCGCAAGGAAGTCGCAGTCTGAAGCACTCCAAAAGGGTCAAACATCGCTCCGCTCTCGTTTTTGATTCCATGACGAAGTTCGTTGCTAGGATGTTCGTTCGTTGATCTCCAGACGCCCACATAGTACGTGATGGCGCACTCTTGTTTTGTCTACTCATTGTTTATTCTGCGAAAACAACGCGCCCATCTACGAAAACACGCCAGCCACTAGGCTTCCCTATTTTCAAGGATCGTCGGAAATCTAACTATTCCATTTACGCCTTTTGCAAGAGGCCTCCAAGAGAGCAGGAAGGGGACATCTGCCTGGAAAATTAGATTTCCACCGTGCTGCACATCTAAATTGCATTCGCTCCTTTGTTTCTTTGGAATTTGAACGAGATGCCTTTCCCATGAAAAGACGAAAGCCCATCGCGGTCCCCCCCCCCTCCTGGGTTGTTCTATGAGCTGTTTAGCACTTGCTCTCGCATCACGAGGACACAGACATTCGTTATGCATAAAAGGACTTTCGAGGTACTGGACTTTCAAAGGGCATTCGAAGTATAGGGTGGTGAACTTTCAAGAATTGCCACTTTCCGGAAAGCACTAGTCTTCGGGCAAAGCTGCGATGAGGCTACTCCGGCAGCAAGTATGGCGCTCTCGTCGAAGCGGAAGTGGGGAGGCCGGGGAAAACGTTTAGAAAACAGCTTCCCACTCGGAATTGTTGTGCGTTCGCTTTGTCGTCGTTGTGTGTCAAAGCAATTACGACAGAGTTTCCGGAATTGATTCGCAATGGCTTAGAAGGAATGCCCTTGTCGAGTCATCACAACAATTATCCGCTCTAATGAGGCTGTTACCGAATCCACAAAAGTGAAAAGTTGTTTTCATTAATTCAGCTTACACAGCTCGGCTTCGCTTACCAGGAAGGTCTTTCAGGGCGTGCCGAGCTTTTTGAAAACGGTCTTTTGCATGATATAGGGGCACATGCGGGAACCACAGAACCATGTTTAATTTTTCCTGAACGGCCCTCTGAATACCAGAAAAGGGGGTCCCTCTTGGTGACAAATTTTTGCATTTCGAGTTGACGTTTCAAAATTCGCGCAAAATGGAGTTAGCATGAACAATGAATGCCATATTCATAATTAGGCCACGTCAACTCGAAATGCAAAAGTTTGTCACCACGAGGAATCGAACTAGGGACCCCTTTTATTCAGAGGGCCGTTCAGGAAAAATTAACATGGTTCTGTGGTTCCCGCATCTGCCCCTATATCATGCAAAAGACCGTTTTCAAAAAGCTTGGCACGCCCTGAAAGACCTTCCTGGTTAGGTCAACATCGGCGCTGAATAGACGCAGTGGGGTAAATGGGACAAAGGATTTTTTGTGGAGACATTAGAATGCATTGTATGTATTTGGTTCAAGAAAGCGACTTACAAGATTTACTGCTTTGCTGCTGCCTATTCTAGTGCTTTTTCGTACTGACTGGGCCCAAAGCGCTTGATATTAGGATTACTGGCTAAGGCCGATGTCAGACTTTGCGAATCGCGCGATTCGCTACTAGCGATTCGCGCGATTCGCTAGCGTCCGCGGTCGCGTTGCGGTACCAGCCAATTGAGTGATTCACTGGCCGCGACGCGACCGCAGACGCTAGCGAATCGCGCGATTCGCAAAGTCTGACATCGGCCTAAGTTTAGGCATCTTCAGGAAGCCACCCGCCGACTGCAAAAGCGTTACCAGCTATTACCAGTAACAATTGCCCACTATTGTTGAGTACAACAACGCATTGATAATATCTACTGAGTGTGAGTCTGTGCATGTAGACCAAGCTCCAAAATAAACTCTTTCGTTGAGGAATCAGTCTCAGGGTTCCTAGTGCTAAAAAATTTCAAGCAGCCCTCTCGAAGTGAGTTTTCTTTCCATCAAAGTCAATATGGTTCTACCGTCGCAAGTCAATGAACTTCCTGATTTTCAAGAAATGGGTCCCACATGAAATAGTTGTGCGTGAAGGGATCAGCTGTAGAACTGTCGTCAGGGTATGCGCCACGCATTTGACTTTTATCGATAATTATGGGAACAACTCACTACCTGTATGCTTCGTACAATGACCATGGCTAGTTCTCAGGTTCCAGGTGTTTTTCCAAAGAATGAGTAAATGAACGGGGCTGAATGACTTTTCGTTTTCATGACACATTTACCCCCCCTTCCACCCACTCGCCACTGCTTGTGGAGAGTAGGCGGTTGGGAGTTGGACTGATCGACTGGTCTCAGGATCAAATGCTATAGAAACAGCCATGATGGCAAGGGTGGCAGTCGGGGTAGGGAGGGAAGGGGTTGTATTGGGGGAACCTACTAACTATAAGACTGGGTGGGCATGGGGGGGGGGGATGGTCGCCCAATTTTAGTAGTTGGACTTGACAGTTGACCCGGGTGGGGACTCCTCCGGGGAGGAGGTTATCTGATTTCAAAAGTCGCTGAAATATAATAGTGGACCCAGTCAGGTACAGGAGGTGTAGATAAATAGAAACGCTTTCAGCCCCCTCTGCCCTGCCAGCCGGGTGCGTTATAGATCTCTCTTCAAGTCAGATGACCTAAGATTGGGACGCCACATATTCGCCGCCCCCCTCCCCCCCCCCCCCGCCCCCCCACCCCCCCCCCCCCCCCCTCAAGCTAAGCTCCACATACGAGAAAGCCTAGGCCATCGTAGCCTAAGCATAAGCAATGTGTAAGGCAAGAATGTCGAAACCTAAGCCGTAAGCCAGGCTTACCTCAGGCTTTCATTGATCGCGGCACTGGGTCTGGTGGACCTGATCCCAGGAGGAGAACTGAACATCCTCCTACCAGCCTCGTCCTGACCATGGTAATTGCCGAAGATGTTTCTCCAAGCACTCAATGAGAGCAGCCACGTCTTGGTAAAGCAGCGCACTGGATAGTTTGGAATTCCGTGCATGTGTTAGATGTCAAAATGCAATGCCTTACCCTTAAAGAGTTCGCTGTGGCGAAAGTCATTACATATGCATGAAATTTAACTATACATGAGATATTCCGTGACGAGTAGGCGGGACTAGGTTGTTCCGGCCAACCTCCTCGGCTTTTCCTGCTCTCATTTATCGTCGAGTCGTGTGCCCTATATGGTGAACGAGAGGGCACTTCTACCCCGTCCGAAGTCCCAGTATCGCTTTCTGAGGGTCCCCTGCCCTCGGTCCCTTTTACCCTTCCCTCTCAAATATGAATGATTAACGATGTCTGCTTTGCGTGCCGATAATCCCTAATCCATGCTAGTAGACGTCAGCCCTTCCCTTTCAACCAAGGCACGGCGGGTGCGGGGGAGATCGCTTTAGTCACCTTCCACCGTGATTGCCATACACGGGGACATTCCGACATCACGTTGTTTATGACCTTGGCACTTCCTTTTTGACCTGAGTTGTTTTTCCATTTTTAATATTCAATGTTCCTCATGTAGTGTGTCTCTGTTTTGAAAGCGTTTGCTTGAAAGTTACTTTGGCCTGTCTTGCAGCTGTTGAGAATGTGTGCACGGACCGGGTTGGGAATCCTGGCCGGGGTTTAGGCGTCGTCAAGAAGCACCGGCTGTCGTCACGGCGCCATCGATTTTTCGTTGTTCAGTGAGCGCGCGGCTGCGTCGTGTGCCTGTCGTGTGGTCGCCGGGTCTTCGTAGTCAGTTCTTTGCACTTCATCCGATTCCTGCCATCTTCCCTGCCATTAACGATGGATGCTGATGATCTCTACGATTCCGCGGACGACGACATAGACGGTGAGTTCAATCTCAGTCGACGACATTTCACTTTTATGCGTTAGCTTTGCTTTACAGAGGAGGGTGTTACATTGGTATTACCTTGAGAGGTTAAAAAGTACAAACCTAATTGGGTGGGGCATCTTGGTTTTGGGGGTCCCTACGTCAACTAGAGCTTAGTATTGGAACAATTTTGGGAGGGGCGAGACCGCAGTGTGGTTAACAGTTACTTATGCAGGGTTCCTCGCCGTTTTGTGGGCTCAGCATTAATACGATGTGAACTCGCAAATCGATGTATCCAACTCATCAGGTTCAGGATCAACGTACAAAAATTAAATGCAAGTACTAGTCTATAATGAAGGAAAAATTTGTCAATTTTGCATCTTGTCCAACAAGCACACGTATGCTGTAGCCTCTGAGGCTCGTTAAGAGTTACGATTGAAGAGAAGAGCTGGAGTTGTGGAAATGACAGAAGGATCATATTGAGGAACTATGAAGGAAATTGACCCTTACTAGTAATAGGAATGCGGTCCAGTTACTAACGATGCATTTTTTTGCAGTAATTTCATGTAAACGAAGGGTGAGCGAGCTTTCAATTATGTGATTTGGGTAAAGGGCCTATTCAAGGGTTCTTAGAACGTGTTACAGCTATAGATAGTTATTGGATCTTTATGTGGACAGGTTTCATTTTCAAGGGTATGTCAAATATCGAAAGGAACTATGGGGGATTGCCCAGAACTAATCGTCACAATGCCGAAGACGTGTTCTTTTTCAGATTATTATGACGACTTTGATGATGACATGAATCCTGACGGTGAGGAGTTGAAGAAAACTGAATCAGAAGATGCTGAATTCGAGTGCTTGAACGTTTTTCAGGTATAATTTCTCTCACTTTTTTTCTTGCCGGTTGGGCATCACTTAGGCGCCACGGATAACAGTTGTTAGACGAGATTTTATTCGAGCAAACCGTGTCACCAGGCTGGTGGAATCACGAATTCATGCAGAAATATTTTCTATTTTTCAGAACGTTTCCATAGCAAAAAAAATGTATCCAAGTACAATTCATTTTTTAGCGATTGTTCCTTGATATAAAACTTTTCTGCTTTCGTTTTCGGCTCTGGTTTCATAGTAAGAATTGAACAAAATGTTTCCTGCATGAACTTTGGCCGCATTTTAATACCCCAGGCTTCGAGGTGACGTAATGTCTGAAGCGTTAAGTTTCGCTCGAAATCGATGACTAATGACCACGCACACATCTCATAACCATGTGAAACGTCGCAAATTAGTAGCTATTCATAATAAATGCTTAGTATTGAGTGCCAATCGTTTCGCGTCACCGTGAAACAACTTTTGAGCCATAATATAGCTAGTAGTATTAAATTTAAAAAAGGCGTCTTTACTACTACCTTCAAAGTCAAGAAGGGAAATGTAGTTAGTTGCTACCTGGTGTTATAACTATTTGACGGTTGACAAAAAGGACAACTTTGACAATCACCCTTCATGCTCTTCTAGAACACTGCTTGGCGTGTGGTATTCTTTGCTCACTAGATTCCCAACGTAACGATTTAGATGAGGTTTTCTCCTTATAGATTACAATTTCTGGCATATTTAGAGCTTTGATTAACTTGACAAACATCTTCACTTAGAACTATTGTGCCAATGTCCAGCATTTCAAAAGACAAGTGAATCATTATTTATTTACGATCCCTTCTAGGTGGAGCGAGTGCTCAATGAGAGCGTTGCTGCGTTGGCTGAAAAGGAAGCAATTTCGCCAACACTGGCTCGTATGTTACTTCATGCGAACGAATGGGATGTGAACAAGGTAGGTAGAGGGTTGACATTTTTCTTCTCTAATTGATTATATCTTTTTGCGATGGCTTTGAAGCTGAAATCATTCTTTCGGGAAATTATGTTCTCAGTTTTTCTACATATCATTAACCATATTTTAATTGGGTAATTGCCTGTGTCCGTCGTCTTCATCTTTTCCTTTTATTTTGTACTTTGTGCAAATTCAAGGTTTTCAAAGGGGCATTAAGGCTTTCATTCTATTCATTACCTCTAGAATATTTTGCTTCCTTTGAAGGGGGAAGGTTGGGGGGGGGGGGTCGACGGGCTGCTCGAACTCAGCCCTTCAATGACCTGGGTGCTTTTGCAGGAGGTAAGGGTGTGGGCTGAAGTGTTCAAGCATAATTCTTTCACACCTCTGGCTTACGACTGTTCCTTCCGCTCGTCCTTCGTTTTCGCTGACTAGCAAATATAAAATGTTGTTCTAAATGCGCTGTATGCCGTGCACCAAAAATTTTTCAATTGAAGTCATGGATATGTGGATTACATGTGTTGTTGAAAACAACCGGAGTATTATCGCGAATTTTCAAGATTGCAATCTATTGAATGTGATTGTTATGTAGATTATGATCTATTGGAGTTCTAGTTTGCAACAATATGATAGTGTGCTCTATAAAATGAAATTCATCCTCCATTCGAAGTTATACCTCGTTCGTAACCGACTATTCGACCATTTCTTAATTTTCAGGTTTCCTCGCTACTCTTAACAAACGGAGCGGCAACTCTCCGAGCCAGTGGAATCCTCCCTCCAGGAGCCGCAACCGTTTCACGACAAAGCTCGGCTCTTTCCTACTGTGCAGTATGTGCTGAGGAAGGTCTTCTAGAAATGCGCGCATTGGCATGTGGTCATGCATTCTGCGCAATGTGTTGGCGTTTGCACATCGAAGCCAAGTAATATCTTACTCAAGAATGAATTTTAATGAGCTATATCAGCCATCATGTCTCGCTGCAGGATTTCTGAAGGAGTCGCGTCTCGATTGGAATGTATGGAGCCGAGTTGCAGCCTTTTATGCCCAAGTGAATTTGTGCTGCGGATACTTGACAAGCCGCAATTCCGAGCAAGGTGAGCCAGGGTGACTTCTGCTTTAGTTTGGCTTTCTTCAATGTATGAAGACCATTTTCTTGCAACGTTTTTTCCTTTTAGGTATGAGCGTTTTGTCTTTCGCGATTATGTGTCTTCTCACCCTGAACTCAAATTTTGTGTAGGAAAGGATTGCCAGGTATGTTAGCTAGTCTGGAATGGTACTCTTTCTTTTCCTGATAATGTTGATGTGAGCATTGCTCGCTTGCAGACTGTTATACGATCAAAAGAGAAAAAACCGAAACGAGTGACCTGTTCGAGCTGTAATACCTCGTTTTGGTACGTTTTTTCCTCCGTATAGTTGGCTTCTAGCAATTGACGATGCTGGTCTACTTGAGTGTCGAGTTTTATTTGGAACTGTGTAAGAAATGTAACACCGGAATGTTTCACGTCAGTGGCGCGGTGTTTTTGCTTTTATAGGTATTTCACGAAGAAAAAACTGATTAATGTCAGGTTTCTAGTTTGTGTGCTACTGCGGGCAGGTGCCTAATGTTTTCGGCGCTTGTTGGGGGAAGTCCATAGTCGCAAAAAAGCCTAAAAAGATTTGAGAATCTGAGCTTGATGGTGTTTCTTTATCAACGCTCCTTCGTCTTTCCATTTTTGGGTTAAATAGGCGTCTTAGTAGAGCTTCTGCTTGTTACCTCGTGTCGGTTTACGTTGGACACTGCAGTTTTAAGTGACTTGAGGGTTGTTGCAGATGTTAGGCCGGTGTTACATTTGGCTATTTCAGGTTTCTGCGATTTTGTACTTTTCCTGTAGTTGTTATTGTCTGTGTTTTCCATATCCGGATGCAAACGAAGTGCAAGGCAATCTCGCATGACTGGGGTCCTAAGACTGATGCCGCGATAGATTGCTCGCCATTGGAAATGAAAGTAGATGTGCATGATATTGCCATAGCGCAAAAAAGCCATGTGGTACGGCCTGGAATCCAGAAAAGGATCGATTGTTTTTCGTGCATTCCAAGGGCGCTCAGGGCACCCTTTGTCATTAGCGGTCGAGGGCTTGCTTTTCTTCGGCTAAAGAGCAAGCGTCTCTCGGCAGTGCGGGCGAGATATGTTGGCGCAGATTATCATAACAGGTATGGGCGTCAGGCGTATTACGTTTCTACGAACGAGTGGATCTTTGCCGTAAACGCTCGGGATCGACGGATTGAGGCCCACTCCCTCACATATTCGTCCCAGTTGCCCTTCTCCAGATCCAGTTTATCGTGTCAACTGCGTTCGAGGTGATATGGTTCAACCTGCAGGAGGTATTTCAGTTTTTGCATCAAGCAAAGAAGTTCTCAGTAGATTAGTTGCAGCTTTGTCATGAAGAGTGGATGTCAACTGGCATTTGGTCTTTATGTAGCTAATTGTTTTATTAACGATTGTGCAGAATTTACGTCGCGGCATGAATGCAGCTTTGAACCAAGAAATGATTTCCAGCGATATCATATTAAATCAGAGCGGAAGTACTTGAGCCGTTTTTTCTGATTCGCTTTTCCGCCGTTAACATGAATGATTTATGAGATTAACGATTCAATATGCCCCTCACCATGGCATCACCACCACTTATGCTTAGGGATGAGCGCTTGGATAGATAACCGTGGGGGTATCCTGATCTAATTTGCGACTGTTTGCGGAAATTATAGAATTAGGCTCATGGTATTCGCTAGCTTTGCGTTCTAAGTTTTTTGAGTTCTACTTTCGTCGGTTACATAGATGGAATGGATGTGAAGATTATTTAGGACTTCTGTGTCATCACTCTCGCTGTTGTAGCCTCAGTTTGTCGGACCTTGGGTGGGTATTTGTATCTTTCTGTGCCGCTACTTATCCTTTATGAGGACGTCTCCCTTTTGTCATTGAATGGAAATGTTGAGTCAAATTTCGGCACACGCTCTGATTTCTATGTCGACGATGCTAGGAGGATCAGGCCAATATTATCGGCATTTTTCAGCACTTTTTATTCATTATTTGGCGCAGTTTGTTTGTTTGTAGTTTTTTCGAGGCGAGTTGTGGTGTGCTTTATAGGGGACGCATCTGAATTTTCCGCCCCGGCCAGAATGCAGGGTACATATGATCCCCTGTGGAACCTGGAAGGCTGCTGCAGGAAAATTTGTCTTGGTGAAAATTGGAAAGTCCGCTCTTTATCCAATGAAACTATGTTTATGGTGTGACGTCAGTGGCAGAATTGTGACATATTTTTAAGAAGGGTTTTGCATTCTTGCGGCTATTGTTTGTGAAGACGAAATGTCTTTGTTCAGGTTGCCGTGGGCGTCGATTCATGCTCCAACATCATGTGAAACAATCAAGCAGTGGTTGCTCAAATGTGCCGATGACAGCGAGACTGCCAACTATATTAGGTACTTTCAGTGACAGTTCAAACTTCACTTATTCTATTCACTTACACGAAATAAGATAGCTTTCATCATACAGCAGTATGTCAGTGGGCAAATATGACTGTTTAGAGAGACTTGATGAACGCTGTCCTCATTTTTAGAACTTTAAATGGAGGATTTTGAGGGCAAACTAAGGGGTCTTTCAGGGCAAACTACGCTTTTTCAAAATGGTTTTTTGCATTCTGTAGGGACGCATTCAGGAAACAAAAATCGTGGTTCATTTTTGCTGAGCAGTTTTAGCAGTATCAAAAAAAGAGGCTAAGCATGTTAATGGTTCGACCCCCCCTCTCACGGCTAAATTTTGCATTTAGGTTTTCGTCTACAGATTGGTGCTATATCGCGCTATATGTCAAAATAAGATGGTTAATAATAAGGTCAGGACGATTTTTGAAGCAATAAAGTGGCCTCCAACACTGACTGCAAAATCTAGTCGCCGCGGGGGATCGATCCATCATGGGTATCATTCACCCCTTTTTTGATACTACTGAAACCGTTCAGTGAAAATGTAACATGGTTTTGTATGCAAGGAACCGTTTTCAAAAAAGCGGATGCTTGCGCCTGGAATACCTCCTTGTAAGTGTTGGGTGCGTAGTATTCTTGAATCCTATTGAAACTCAAAGAAACATGTTGAAATCGGCGTGAATCGTGGTGCGAAACAGGTCGATTATGATGTACTAGACTCCGACTGCAGTGCTCTGTTGCTGACGCGTGTTTATTCACCAGGCTGCTCACAATACGGTGTTTTATCGTGGGTCTGAATTAGCGACAGGACAACATATAATCGATTCTGTATATCCCTAGTTTAGTAGTGTTTGTAGATTTTCTGTTTTTCTCGTGTGTTTGTTTGTGTGAACTGGAGATGATGTGATTGGGTGGGTAATGGAATGAATCAATCGCTGACAAAATCGGGAGCTCGTAGGTCTTGCAGAGTGAATGTTTCGTGGTAGCAAATCGTGAGGGCTTCCATATAAATTTCCACTGATCACACTTAGGTTTTCGCATGTGGTGCTACAGTGGCGGCTCGAGGGTTGGGAAGGGGTAGTAGGGGAAGCGGAGAGGGAATAATTAACCGTCTACGAACTTAAGGGATAAACAGTGGTGAGGTATCATTCTATTGAGATGTAGCGATTGCATTAAGACGCATTAAGACCTTCCACCTGACAAAATACCCTTTTATGTGCGTACGTATCCTCTCCACGAGGTGTTGACCTCAGAAGTCAGCGCAACGGAAGGTTTAATGCTTATACAGTGTAAGTGAGGTTGTGACGGCTGCCAGGGAACAAGAGTGTTAATTAGATGGCTGTTCATTTCTAAATGATAAACAGCGTTTTGAACATGACTCACACAAGGCATGTGCGAATAAGCGTTTTTGTCATGCGTATGACTAATTTTGTCTACCTAGCAGGTTTTGGTTTGGAATTGCGAAATAGGAAATACCGAACACTCGCGATTGGTCCAAATTCCGGTGCCTTTGTTGATAATGATTAGCAAAAGAGTTGTATGATAAAATTCAAAATGGTCACCATTAGTTGTGTCACATCCTTCTTTTCTTCTTTGGCGGTCATTTGGTTGTCATCACCTCCTGCAGGAGGGAGTTCACTGTCTTCAGCTAGTTATTGAGTTATATATTTTAATTACTTGTAACTAATTAGTTAGGTAATTAATTAGTAATTACATTTAGTGCTCACACCAAGGATTGTCCTCAATGTCATTCGTGTATAGAAAAAAATGGTGGATGCAATCATATGCAGTGTGCCAAATGCAAACATCACTTCTGCTGGATGTGCTTTGGAGGTCTGTTCTTTGTTAATTAAGTCGTTATAATATTTCTTGATGTCCCAAATGAGTCACAATTTACATATTTTCAGATTGGAAAACTCATGGCAGTGAATATTACGAGTGTAGCAGGTACAAGGTGTGTTTTACAGGCAATTTCCAAAAGGCATTGTTAATTAAACATAGGGCCAAATACATCCATCACATAGTTTGCATGG